CATGATCGGATATTCTGTGACAATTTTAGGTATTTTTGGGATTACTGGAGATCACGGAAGGGTGATTTTGATTCCCTTACTCAATGGTGGGAGGTAGGAAAGGCCCAAATTCGTGTGTTCTGTCGGCAATATAGTTTTCTTTTGACGGCCAATATCATGAGAACTGTGCAGGACTTTGAAAAGGAGATAACACATGTGGAGACTGTCTCTGGTTCACAGTTTGGTCAGCAGGATAATGCCTGTCTTCATTCTAAAAGGCAAGAGCTTAACCATTTTTTACATGAGGGCTAAAGGAGCTTTGGTTCGAGCACGTTTCACCAGGCTCCAGGACATGGACGCTCCAACCACGTTTTTCTTTAATTTGGGGAAGTCTGTGGTTCACAGGAAGCAGATGGTGTGTCTTCAGCTTTCGGATGGAAGAGTGACCACGGATCCGGCTGAGATGAGACGGCATGCAGTGGCCTTTTACACGGACTTGTTTAGTGCGGATGGCTGTGATGTGGACTCTGCTTCGGACCTTCTGCAGGGGCTTCATCTGCTGAGCCCAGGGGATCTGGACGTTTTGAACAGGGATATGACCTTGGATGAGCTGTCTGCGGCGGTGTCTCAGAAGGCTTCAGGCAAAGCTCCAGGAATAGATGGTTTACCATCAGGCTTTTTTAAGCACTTCTGGAGTCTTCTGGGTCGGGACCTGCTGGACGTGTTTAAGGAGTGTTTTGTAGGAGGGATACTTGCAGCTTCCTGCAGGCGTGCAGTTATCTCTCTCATACCAAAGAAGGGAGATTTAACCCTTCTTCGGAACTGGAGACCAGCGGCCCTTTTATGTGCAGACTACAAGATTCTCTCCAAGGTTTTATCGAACAGACTGAAAATGGTCATTGACCTGCTGATTGGTTTGGATCAATCTTACTGTATTCCGGATCAGTCTGTGATTGATAACTTGTTTTTGATGAGAGATGTGTTTGATATTTGTGAAGTGTACAATGCTAAAGTCGGCATCGTTTCTCTTGATCAGGAGAAGGCTTTCGACCGTGTGGACCATGATTTTCTGTTTTCCACCTTGGAGACCTTTGGTGTTGGGCGGGGGTTTCTGACTTGGGTGAAGCTGCTGTATAGCGATGCTTGCTGTGTTGTGAAGGTGGGAGGGTTGAGTTGTCCTGTGCCGGTTCGGAGAGGGATTAGACAAGGTTGCCCTATCTCTGGACAGCTTTATAGCATTGTTGTGTTCATCAGTACACAACTGAAACCGGTTTAGAGAGTTTGTTTAGCCGTGGAGGGAAACAACTGAAAATATGAAATAAACACACATGTGAGCTGAGACTCTCATTTCATCATTTGTTGATTCACTCCAAGAGCAAGTAACGTAATAATGGGTCAAGAGATCCGTTTGACATCTTTGGTGATTCACCGTCATATTTACATTATTTGTACAGTACGAATGATTTGCTTTGGTACCTGCTCAAACTTAAGCTCTCCTCTGTCTGCCTGGCTGCGCTTCTCCTACAGCAAACTCGCAGGCAGCAGCTCCTCCCCCCTCGCTCACATGCTGCGCTCAGTCGCCGAGTGCCTGAGCTCGGATCGTACCAAAATTAGGGGGAATTTACGACTGCGCGCTATGTGCTTCAAATATTGTGTGTAGTTTTTGTTTTATACAGTTGTCAGTCAGGCATCTAACTATGAAA